TACAGCAATATGAATTGCCACCAGGTAGGCACCAGCAGATAGTATACCGCGAGCGGATCGCTTTAACCCTTTCCGCTACAAAATGCAATAGTCCGCCGACGAGTTTTATAATAATTAACTTAGTAATTTAGTAATTCTAAATATTGCTAACGATCAATTTTAGTGTAGAAGTTTACTTATTAAAAATTTTGTTCCCCGTTACATCAATTTTTATCATTTGTTACTCTTGAATTATTTTATTAATTATTTTTAAAAGCTTAAGAATATTAGAAAAAAATATTTCTCCTTTACCACATTATTTTGGTTGGAAAGGATTAAAAAGCGTAATCAGGATCAGTCTATTTATGATATATCTCCATTGCCTGAGTTTTAATTTTACCCCGTAATTTATTCGTCGAGATAAAGTTTAAAATGCCTTAACTATAATAATTTCTGTTTTATAAAACTCCGTTGTTCTGATAAACAATAGAAAATTCAAAGACAGTTCTCTGTCTCGCATATGAAAAAAAAAGTGCAAGTCAAAGGCTCTTTATAATCGATCATTTACCTAATAATCTTATAAGTGTCTATAAGTTGTTAATAGCTGCCTTTCTCTCTCATTATTCTTACGAACAAAATATCTTTTGATAAAGTATGAATGAACAAGCAATCGTAACAGACAGCTTTTTAAGTTTGCTTAATAGAAGAAAATGGAAGTAGTTGTAACAGGAATAAATTGCAACGCGGTGATCGCTAATCTGGACTCTTTAACAAAACGCTTGTGTGATGCGCGTATGCAACAAGATTCGCAATTATCTTCCATTGTGCCGGCGATGACTCTCAACTTGGTGACAACGCGTCACAGCCGTGAAAGGTGCGACATTTATATGACAAATGTTGCAACTTATCCCGGTCACATTATGCAGTTTCTGCCTTTGCTTGCGTATCGCAACGTTGTTGTGGCAAAAGCCGATTAAGAAATTCAATAATTAATCACGTGAACAAATTGTCACGTATATACGGGGAGATGAGATCCGAGATAAGAATCGAAGAGAACGATGCTTGAAAACGTCTCACAAAAAGTCTTTTAGCACTCTTTGGTGTGTTTGATGCTATCTGGAACTTTGATCGGTAATAAATATGATAAAATCTTTGACTCTTTTTTTTTATCGCGAACGATATAATTAATGTAATCGAGATTCCGCATCGACAGAGCGGTACCGGTGTATTCCCTCGCTACGTGATGTCGAACATCATAACCGCATATAAACGGAGGGATGCCTGATTGTGCCCCACTTTCCCTCGGCGGCGCACACGCGATTATCGCAGCGGACACCGCAATGTCCACCATCTCGGTCCCGCAACATCTCCGGTCATCTCCCTCGAGATGACCTCCATTGACATGCACACTCTCCTTCGGAATAAAAAGGTTCTATTGAGTCAAGACCGGAAATCAGTGATATAATCAACATTCCCTAGCGATTTCGCAATATTCGGCAAACAAGTTGTCGTCGGGTTGTCATCAATTTTAATGATTTTATGATTAAACATTACTTTTCGCTTACTCATCGAAAAGCACTCCGATATCGCATTTACCCTAATTGATCCGCTTTTATTACATCGTCATGCATGTATTTTCAAGCAAAACACGCGTAGTAAATGCGCAGGACTTGTATATTAATCTGATGTAACGATGCTTCATTATCATAATTCGCTACTCACCCATCTCGTCGCAAAAGCCGCAGAATCTCTCCTCTCTGATTGCAGTTGGCCAAGCTGGTCTTGGTGCTGTCGTGCATCGGCAGCGACGTCCTGGCGGGTCTCCTGCCGGGGGGTGGCGCAGGTGCCGGAGGATATCAGTACAACCGACCGGGTGGCGGCGGCGGTGGATTCGGTGGTGGTTACGCGGGTGACGCCGGGGGTTTCGGGGGTGGCGGCCGCGGTGGCGACTTTGGCATCGGCAGTTACCGGGGGAGACCTACCCAGGCTTACGGTCCCCCTGGAAGCGGCGGCGGCGGCGGCGACTCCTTCGGCAGACCGGGTTCGGCAGCTGGATTTGGAGGAGCTGGACCGTCGTACAGATATCCGCAGTTCGGCGAGGGTAGCAGCGGTGGATACCAAGACGGCGGTGCCGGAGGATTCCAAGGAGGATACGGAGGATACGGCGGACGCGACGGCGGAAGGGTAAAAATTATTTTTAATGTATTCTTCGACTTCCAAACAGGCTGGACAGTAAAAGAAAATAACATCCTGGAGAGTTGCTTTTTAAAAAGATATTATATATTATCATCAAGTTTTACATTATGTCGTTATACTATTAACATTTCAGATATTTATTTGTATGTATTTGAAATTTAGAAAGATAGATGATAACTTTGCAGAGCGGTGTATGGCTCAGAAATATTTTTTATTTAGCAAAGCTCGAGAATTTGGATAATTAATCCTCAAATACCTCACTTCCTCGGCCACCCGTTAATACCGTATACATGGATTAGCGTAATTCAGAGTTTTCTTCAAAGTCCTTTTTCTTTTTAATCGATACACCAAACAATGAGGAAAAACAATATATAGATGAAAATGACATAAAACTTCTGGTATTCGGAAATTCTGTTTTGAACACAACTGGGTTACCATAATGTGTTTGAAGGTTAATTATTCAATAATGCTTTTTATCTCCTTATACATTACACTCCTGCTTCTCACCTTTTCGTTCATTTTATACATACAACGATAGTTTATTAGACATAATATATATTTTGTAGCCACAGCCGTACAGCTTCCAATACGAGGTCGTCGATCCGCCGAGCGGCAACGATTACTCTCAGCGCGAGAGCAGCGACGGTAATGTCGTTCAAGGAGAGTACAGAGTTCTGTTGCCGGACTCGAGAACGCAAATCGTTCGGTACATGGCTGACGATGTGAACGGATACAACGCGGAGGTTCAGTATGAAGGACAAGCTCAGTATTCTCGTGGTGGTCCGGGAGGGTATCCCGGTGGTGGATATCCAGGCGGCGGTTATCAAGGAGGTCAGTATATCGCACGGAACACAATAATAATATACGCGCAGAAAATTATATAAAGTCACATTGAAATAATTGCACAGCTTATTAGATCATAAAATAAATAATGCGATATTAAAACATAAAACAATTCAACGCGTATGCACGCAAAATTTGAATTTAACTGTCTTTTATCGATAAAAGCGCGCTTTTATCAATAAAAGAGAGTTGAGAATATGGACCTACAAGATTATTATGTAAATCATTTTTTCGTAAAATTTGAAATTTGTTTATTTAATTAATTAATTTGAAATTGTTGGTAATAGCATGAAATTAATACATGATTTGCTCACTTCGAAAAAAGTTTTGTCTAAACATCCACGTTTTCATCGTAGAAATTATATATATAATATATATTTATTTATTTATATAAATTAGAAAAATATGTATCTGTAATCAGAAAAAATGTTTCTGATCAGAAAAGATTGTTATTATTGTTATAAATCTTTATATATCTATCATCAACAGGTCGAGGTGGCGGTTTCGGCGGACCCGGAGGTGGTTTTGGAGGCGGCTTCGGTAGCGACGCTGCTAGCAATCAATATTTGCCACCGCACAATAATTATCGCAAATAACCGCTCGACACGGGCTACCTTACCAAAATACGACATATACCGCGTGCATTTCCGGCGACAACCATCACGGACCTTCCTTGGCTTTTACTCTGACTATACGGTAATCCTTTGCTCACCCACGAGACACGAACCCTCTCCCGATCACCTATGCGTCCGCGAATCACTTTCACCTATATTTAACGATTACACAAGGACTAATTAGGATAACTTCATATGCATGCATGAGTGTATGTATTTATATATATATATACGTATATGATATACATAATTTTGTACATGGTAACTGTATTATCAAACATTTATACGCTTGTATCTTCCACTAAGCGATTATCAACCTCTTATGTTATGTACGTATTTATACGAGCTTGTAGTAAAACATAAATGAAGTGTTCTTTCTACTTAACTTCATGTAGTTTTACCCCGATTCATCCTTAATCTCTATGCTTTAATTAGATCTATAATAGATCTTTAAATCCAAATAAAAAGTTTTTTCTTTCTACGCGTTCCTTACTTCGTTTTGAACAATTTCCTGATCATCAATGCCGACATCCATATAAGAGAGATAATTATTTATTATGCGCTTCTAATAGTCTTTGCTCCAATTCCTTGTATACACAAAAAACTTCTTACTTTCTTAGTTATTTATATATATCTTAATATTTAAAATAAAAAATAACAAATTGCAATAATTGCGAAATGACCAATTCCAATAATATATGAAGAAAATTTAATGTGTAGAAAATTTTGGAAATATTAAAATATTAAAATGAAAGAAAAATTAGAGAACACAGCAATTTTATTTAATCACAATAATTATATATTATAATACAGCAATGATATAATCCTTATTTATTACGATATATATATGTAGAATAACTCTCACTTATTTGATAATAGTAATTTATTAATATCTTGTAACAAAAACTGATGATAATTAAATCTAATTCCTAAAATTTGAAATTTAATATAAAAATTTCATTTAGTATTACATTCACTGAAAAATATTTTCAAAATATAAGTATGTCAAGAGAATATTACAAAAAAATTCGTTTTCGTAAAATTTCTTGAAACTTACATTGTAACACAAACTCTCTCTTTACAAATATTATATTTTATTAGCAGTAAAATCGTTATTAATTTCTTGAGAAAAATCATGATTATGACAGATAATGAGAAAAATAAAACAGAAAATTTATCACATATGCATTGTTACAAAACATAGTGTTGCCTAATTCATATATCTGAAAGATATTATATCATGTTATATCATCTATTTTCTTTCTAAAACAAATGTAAATTTTATAAACGGAATATATATATTTAATATGTTGGAAATATTCTTTTCAAAATAAATGTTTGACACGTACATAAAAATGTTCATGTAAATACTATTGTCAAATAAAAATAAAATATCTTTGGCATCATAATATCCATTGCAAAATAAATGATTATATTAGAAATAACGTATTTTCTTGATCAACAGTTATAAACTGTTAAACAAATACCGTTCTCAGATGAAGTTGTATCAGATCTGTTATGCCTCCTTTTAAAAATCTGGCTTATGTGTGTCCTTGTCCTATAGAGAAATTGAAATAAAATTCTCACAAAGAATATATTTATATCGTTTAACACAAATTTATGATAATAAAACATTACCTTTGCCTAAAGGCGCTTTTTTTGGATTTCGTGGATTTCGAGATTTAATAGACACGCCTCTTCCACCTACACATGCAAACATTTAATTATTCGCGAGTAATACAACTGAAAAATTACACAATCAATTGGTCTAAATAATGTCATATATAATTGTATAGATACATCACATATTAACTTACCAATAGGAGGAAAGCTCTCATCATCTCTTAGAAGAAAATCTTCCATAGAAGAATAAGCGAATGCTAGAAATAATTATTTATAATAAAATATGGATATTTTATATTATTTTATATGCAGCAGAACTATTTTATTAATAAAAAATGAACAAATTGGATAAAATATTCAATCATCTATGATTTAAAAAAAATTTTCAAACTTACGATCAATATTTGGAGGTCGCAACGGTTTTTCATTTAACTAAAAAAAAAACATGAAATTAGTAAACAATAGTATATTTTTTGATTAATGTAAAGATTATATAAGAACACATACGTATTTTGACACATATTTTTTTTCTTCAATAGGCGACTCAATAGGAACAAATTTATCAATAGCCTTGTTAATAGATTTACCAACAGGTTCTTGCAACTTGCTACAATCAATAACTTGTACTGGTTTTGATTCAGTTCGACGGCGCAGTTCTTCTTCAGATGTTCTACTAGACACTTTCAATCTATGTTGTTCACTTACCTATTACGAGATAATTAATAAAAATCTTTAACATAATATTATGTAAATTTTGCAAAACTATTTAAATAAGTACATATAATACTGCGTTCGCTTTGGACGCTTTCGTGCTGAAAGCGTCAGTCCATCTTTATGGCTCATTAAATGTTGAAAAAAATAGAGTAATGCTTTCAGCACGAAAGCGTCCAAAGCAAACGCAGCCAATGTGCCTTTTTGTGCGTAAATCCTTACAGTAGTATATTTTTAATGTATTATACTTACGCCTGTCATAGACAAAACTGCATTAAAGTCAGATGTAGATGGAGCGTGTTCAATTTTCAATTTGTTCATTACATTTTCCATCTCAGATAAACGAGGTTCAGATCCGCTGGGATAATGTATTCCTGGCTTCGTATTAACTCCAAATGGTTCACAAAACTCATCGCACAATGTCCATGCCCAATGATACAGCACAGCTTTACTGCAGTATTCAGACCCTCCATCAACGTATCTGTGAAACTAAACGTTATAAAATAGTATTATGAATATAATATACTTTAAAATATAAAATAAGGTAATAAAATTGCCTACATCACATTCAATTCCTTTTTCAAAGATATATGTAATGCGTGTAAACATATTTTCAGCATAAGCAGGAATAAACCGTATTTCTCGGTCTTTCCTTTTCTTGTAGCCTTCATTTGCCAAGTGTATAAACAATGATTCCAAATCATAAATTTTAAACTGTTCTTTATCTTGTTCTAAAATAGAAGAACAAATTTATTTAAATAATTGTATTAATCTAAGGCGTATTTAAGAAGTAAATTTCTATTGGGTGTAAAAAAAAGAATTATCTTTAAGAAAATTAATTTTATTTTTATAAAATTACTTTTTCACCTATTTTTCATATTTACTATCTAAGTTGAGGTGTTGTGTTATCTCCTTTCCTTAATATAAAAAGATATATAATGAAACAGAAATTCAGTAGCAATGATAAAGGAAAGATATTGAAGAACAAACCATGCCATTGATGGTAGGTACCTTCTTTAAACAAGGTACACAAAGCATTAATTGTACAACAAGAAGTGCCTCAATTTTGATTTAATTACAAATTAAAATATACATGTTACTTTATGAAAGTAAAATAAATATTAAATATCACTTTTTAAACTTGCAGTAGATAAAAAAAAAAAGAGAAAAAGGTATAATTGATCATATCGTTATATTATACCTTATATCGTTATTAAATATGGAATTATTAAAATATGTAATAAAGGTGAACTTACCTGCTTCATCGCACAGTTTTCCTATCAAAGACCGTACTGCTTGTGTGAGACCTCTTGTTGTATAAAGATAAGGATACTGATCCACAAGTTTCCTAGATTCTAGGAAATTCACCAATTTTACGTACATAACAGCAAAGTCAGTATCTCCGCCTTGATATTCTACAGGTATGTTATGAGTGGTCCCACTCATCTCCAGTGCTTCCCGTCTAAATCCCAACGGAATTTTAGCGCTAACAATTGCATGATGCACCTCTTCTATGCCATTCTCAAGTGAAAAAACTCCAAATGCATATTCGGCCGGAAAATATTCGCAAGTGTTGTTAACAAGTCTGGTGAAAAACCAGTTAACATGTACGAAACAAAATTTCAATTGTGAAACAACTGCAATAAAAAGAAGTATTATTTGGTACAATAATTTAATATATTACATTTATATAGTATGTATTTGTACTTGAGTTGCATTATTGCTCATATTTGCAAGATGTTCAATCCAAACAGAGAAAATTAATACAGCTTGCTAAGATTATGATACTATTTGATAACACTCGTTATTCTTTTTGCATCTTTTAAACAAAATTCAAAACTTTCAAAATTAATGTAAAAAGTGTCAAATGTGCAATAATGTACTTTCAAATTAATTTCTACAATAAATTACATTATATAATATTACGTACAATTAAGATTTACAGCTGAGTCGATTATTAGTTTGATATTTTCTTGCATATTTTTTATAAACATCAGTGCTTCCTTTTCTTTCTGTTCAAGAGCACTTATTGATTCTCCAAGTGATGTTTTCTTGTCTTTGCTTCCTATTTGCGATGAGACTTTATCTTGCTTGGCCATAGCTTCATAAGGACCTTTTTCTTGCTTAGTTAAACTCTATTGACAAAAAAATATCTATTTTATTACAAAATACATTAAAGAAACGTACAACCTAATGAGTAATCCAATTAAACAAAATTTTTTAATTATATTTTTACTTTTATCATAATATGTAATAAGTCCAATTAATTAAAATATTTATTTTTTTATAAAAATGTATAAACTTTTTCGTAAAAATCTTTGATGTATAGCAGGTATTATTCTAAACATTTATGTATGATAGTAGTTACTAATATTTTTTATAATATAAAAAAAAGTTATTATCTTAGAGATATATAATTCACTATTAAAAACAATTTATATCTATTTATATACATGTATCTTCACAAATGTTATTATAATTATCTTTCTTTATTTTAACAAGATCTCATAAATAACGCGTTATTTATTATTAAAAAACAAAAATGTAGCAGATAATATTTTAATAATGTATATGCTCAGAACACAGAAGAAAACTATATTTTCCATATACTTTAATGATTTCGTAGAACACTTAATTAGCACCTAATTCTAGGATATTTCCTTGTTCAATTTATAGATAATTTATTGGATAATTATATATACACGTGGGAAAGAGAGAGCAAACCTGAAGCTAAGTCAGTTCCCCTCCCCCTTATCTAGTTTCCCGCCCGAACATGTGGAGCTCTCAATTCAACTTTAGCGTCTAATTAGCGCTTAATTCTGCGTTAAAAGTTACTTAGCGCTGGCAACCAACTTAACGAGGATGTCAGAAATTAAGTCTGCCGGAACCTGGAACTAATGCCTGCTCCTCTTGTAAACAATTTACCTGCCACTCCTCGTTACAGTCCGGATCCTGTTGAACGTCTTTGAAACCGTTAGGAAACTTGCGACCTTGCGCTTCCATACGTTTCCTCCAGTCGGCCATAAAGAAGAAGAATGCATTTCTACCTTTGTTCTTCGGCATTTCTTCCGGCAAGAATAAAGCTACCCTCCTATAGTAAACGCTGTCAGCGTAAGCAAAACAGCATTCGACAAAAGATAGGTTAGGGATCTAACTATTAGAGGTTAAGACTCGTCACTTCTTTTCTTCTTCTTACAAAATGGCTCTCGATGAGTCTCGATACTCCTGATCCTGCCTGATTCCTGACAACAAGTGACAACCCTGCTGAGCCTGAGCACCCCCGGCTGGCTGCGAGCTATAATTAGTCACTGGAACATGCGCAAGCGCCACACACAAGCGCAAACTTGTCGATAAAGGCTGCGTTCCGTTCCGAGTTCCGATATGTACTGCAAGTACTGAAAATCTATAGTTTACGTAACGTACACTATAGATTTTCAGTACTGACAGTGAATATCTGAACGCAGCCAAAAATGGGCCAAAGAAAGTTCAGTTCCAGCGAAGTAAAAAGAAACATGCTAATCCTTTGTGATAGAAGCTACGGTCAACGTGACGCTACAAATACTTTGGAGCGTTCTTCTTCTCTTTCTTTCTTCATTGAAAGAAAAGAGAAGAGGAATATGCTTCGAAGCATTTGTAGCGTCAAGTGGACGGTGGACCGCAGCCCAAAACCTTGATTCCAACCCAAATTTCACTTTTACACTGAACTACTGAAGGTCAATTGTTTTTTTCAACTCACTTCCGAAGATGATACCAAAGAAAATCGAAGGGAATTCAGGATGTGTATAGAAAACATGTAATAGAAAAAGAGCAACTTTATCTTACCTACTCCCTCGGAAAGTTTTCAACTCACGGAGTTGAATAGACTGTGCACATTCCAGTGTTATTCGGTCGAGCAATCGTCACGAGCGACGGAGTGACAAAAATCGCGCTAAGCGCTAACGCGAGAGACCGGCTTCGAAATGAAACTGGATCCTTCGATAAAGCTTATACTGTGATAAAGCAGTCAAAGTCCTGACCAATTATGTTTCACCGCGTGCGCGCGAACTGGAGGTGGTAGTGGGGGTACAGCCAATCCGATTGTGAGCACATATATCACGATGTATCGTGTTCGCCGTTCGGAATGCGCGCTACAAGAGTGGGACATAAATATTTTCTTTCATGGGCTCATGTAATGTATACGTGGATTAAGCTATCTCCATGGTAAATAACTCCAACACAATTTAGTGAAAATAATCGGTATGATAGAGATCATAACTCACATACAAGTTTGACGAATTTTAGCTTACGCTCTCCGCGTCACGCGAGCAAAATTTATTTATTCCATATGTTTATTCAAAAATAAAAAAAGTTTAGTTCTATTAATTCTAAAATTAATATCGCGTATTAAAGGTAATTGCAGAGCTTTTGTAAAGAGTTTAGTAGTCTGCAGGTAACATGAGAATAAATACTGAATAGGCACAGGAGTTTTCATGAAGATTTTATTTTGAACAAAAGGGCTAAAGCTCCTAAGAGTATCCCAAAAATAATTTTCTAACAATATGACAAAATATGTTTATATATTAAACGTATATCTCTATTATTTATTTAAAACCAATGAGCATCGCCGGCACAGTGTCACCTACATTCAACGTCTGTTTCTCCGCTGTTCGCCCTGGCAGCATCAGGAGCGCGTTAGCACCTTTGCAGCTGATTAACTTGCTACTGATTTGATTTCCCGTGCTGTAGGCCATCGGGAGCACCTCTTCGTGAGTCCATTCGAGATACGCTCTTGCGTATTCAGGACGCGGGTCCAAATTGTACGACGACGTTAACTGTAACGTTAAAACAATATTTTCTATATATCGTGTACTTTACTGTTTTTGCAAGATAAAGATGTTCTTACGAACCTTAGCTCTCACTATGACTGGCTGCGAAAAGTTGCCGTGCATTTCGTTCAGAAGGGGTAAGAGGAATAAATGCGCGGTAACAGTAGCAGACACCGGATTCCCCGGCAAGCATAGCAAATATTTGGTTTTGTCTAAGAATGTGCACGTTGCAAATGTCGTTGGTTTTCCCGGTTTCATATTTACGCGTCCTGAAATATAATTAATAGTTCGTGTAAGAAACATGTATTTTAACATATTTTTAGATATGATTAACATAGAGATGGTTAAAAAAAACAAAGAAAATACCAAAATGTATGGTAGCTTTGAAATGTCTCTCTAATATAGGCTTCAACAAATCTCTATCGCCCATTGACACAGAGCCCGTTGTCACAAGTACATCTACTTTTTCTAAAGCTCCCTTGATTTTACTTATCATATCCATCGCGCTGCAAAATGGTTATATTAATAATAAAGTTACATATAATTTATAATCACTATATCAATCAATAAAAAAAGTATTATGATACAACGTGGGTGTATCAGGATAAATTCTTTACATACTCATCAGTCGCAATTCCACAATCCAAAGCATTGAAGCCATTCTCTTTTAATAGCGAGATTAAAGTTATTCTGTTGCTATCGTAGACCTGCCCTGGTCCTAGAGGCTCTCCAGCGTCTTGCAATTCATCTCCAGTGGACAGTACACCTATACAAGGGAGTTTAGTAACTGCAACGTGTTTGCAGCCGCAAGCCACTAGGAGTCCTAATTCCACCGGACCAATACTCGTGTATGAATTTAACACTAAACTTCCCTTTTCTATATCGCAACCGACAGGTCTTCAACAAATAAATAATCAAGAAAATAAATTTGTCAAGAATAAAATATAACTATTCAGAATGACAAAATCAATGGAGCCTTATACCTAATATCTTGTCCCTCTTTCGGTTCAGTCATTATTTCAATTTCGTCCTCCTCCGTATCATCAGCGCTCTTCAATATCAGTTTTGTATCTTCAACTTGTACAACCGTCGCTTCTGTAACCAAGCAAAAAAAGTAGTAAATTTTTTATAAGTAAATCAACAAGCAAATTGCAGTTGTTTACCGTTGGGAACAGGCGCTCCAGTGTTCACGCGTACACAAGTGCCAGGTTCAAGAGACACCAGAGCGGGCTGAAAAAGTTTTCTTTTATTGTTTTCTCTCGCGTCGCATTGAGCATCGGTTAACGTGACTTACTGCAGTCCCTGCTTTTATACCACATAACACCTTCCTTCTGCCTTTTCCATCGCTTGCCAACACCGCATATCCATCTTTTATGGAAGCCCTAAATGGCGGCAAATTGCAATAGGAATATATGTCCTCAGATAATATTCTACCATAGGCATCTTTTACATTCACAGTTTCAACGCTTCTTTCCTCTACACTCGTGCGTATTATGCACACCGCTTCCTCGACAGAAATCATAGGAAACGGGGATTCTCTAAGGCGCGTTGCTACATTCTCAAAATTCACCTGAAATAATCTAATTGTATTACACAATTCGCGTAAAATCATTATTTTATATACCGACGGAAAAAAGTATCTCACTGTACAAAGATGATCATGCGAACAAGATGTGGTATTACGTTGCACAATGTTATGCGTATCTTTAATTTTCGCTTTATTATCCAAGATCAAATCTACGGCGTGCGGAATAGCAGGTGCGATTGCAGTCAAGCACTCTATTGCAGCCTTACGTGAACCAGGCAGATTAACAATCAGTGTTTTGTTTCTTATTCCGCACACAGCTCTGAAAACATATCAAAAGTTTTAATTTTAAAGAAATTACGGAGCAAATAGAAACCTTATATAATATAATAATAGAAATCGAGACTCTACCGAGAAAGCACCGCCAGTGGAGTTATTTTTAAGCTCGACATGAGCATCGCTAAAGACAATCCGGGAGCTTCTTTATGGATAACTTTTTTGGTCGCCTCAGGTGTAACATCTCTTTCGGAAAACCCAGTACCGCCAGTAGTGAGAATAACGTCAACTTTATTTTCATCACTCCAAAAGATTAGATTCTCCTAGATGCCGTATAAATAGATGCATAATAACACACCATCAAAATATGCAAGAAATATTGTTAAAATGTTTATAGTTACCATTATTGACGTCAAATCATCAGCCACAATAGTAGTGTAAGAAACGTGTCCTGCAAGTAGAATATTTCCTGCCGAATCTGCGCTGTTGATAAATACTTTTAATGCAGGTCCACTTTCATCTGTTTTATCACCTCTCGCACAAGTGTCACTTACTGAAATATTATAATGGAATCATTAAAATTTAAGAAATGTGCAATATATATATTATACAAGCTTGTCAATTAAAGATATGGAAACGTAACGTATGTAACCATATTTAACCTTCAAATATGTGCATGACTAAAACGTTTTGTAATCTTTTAAATTTTTATTAATATATAAGCTACTTTAATATATTCCATGTAAATGTTATACACATATTATAACATATTATTACCGGTTAAAATTGCAAATCTTATTGGTGCCATTTTGACCTTCAAATTTTTCGACTAAATAATTTGTGACTAAACACAATTTCTTATCGGTTAATGATTATATAGAATATGTACACTTCATTTAATCATACGATACTGGAAAGAGCATTAGGAAAGGTTCTAAAAAGAGCCACTTCGACCAAACTCCGATTAACTTAATCGGCCGATTAGTCCATTAAAAAACTGGAGCAATCAGTTGAAAATACGGTGACAAGGGTAGCGATCATGTAATTTGAACGTGAAGTTAATGGTGAAAATTTCCACTTTTCACATTTTCAAAAACATTCACAGAAAAAAAAGAAAGAACACTAGCAGGTGGCAGAGTTTACCACTGGCAGACCGCGCTAGTCAGCTGACTTTGGTTTACTGTTTCTGTTCTTTGTAGCTGCACCATGTTATACCTTCTGCACTTAAAATGAAATAAATATATGACTAGACGCAGAGAGAAACCTGCTAGACGTTAGAAAGAAAAAGAGGAAAAATTAAAAAGTTCAACTATAAAGATATCTCTTCCAGTGTTAGTCAAAGGTTATATGGATTTTTGCATGATCATTCGTTATCCATAACACGACTGGGCAATACCTCCTGGCAGATGAGACATAACAAAAACAGTAGAAGCAATTTGCCTTTAATACGCCAGTGAATGATACGGATTATAAATTTAATTTAAAATTAATTACAAAATTTTGTTTTTGTATTCAAACACGTTCAAATAACCGATGTTAGGTTCATTTTACTTCCATTTTTTAAATTTAAGTTTCTCATTCTTTTTCTCTCCGTTTGAGAGAGAAAGATCCAACATCTATTTTGCTCCATATCATTAACGTATAATGCGTCAAAGACATACGTCTTTGCTTACATAAGTATATGTATTTCAGATAGCGGATTTAATAAAATAATTTAGATTATATATAAAGATGTTATTATATCATATCCCTTGGTCTTCTACCTTCGGTAATGTCTGTAATAGAAGGCACAGAAAGTAGTCAGCGTTTACCCCAGCTGCGAAATGAACATCTTTATTATTGAAGAATTATTTAACAATGAAAGATACATAGCGAAGAGTGTACACTCAATTCTAAAATAATACAACAGTATCATATTTTCATGCTTCTTGCTTTGCATGTGAAATAAAAATTATAGACATGATCCTCGTGATATTAGTTATTATCACGCAATTCTTCTAATTTCTCGCATACGCATCGCAATCGGTGTGAGTGGAAGTAACATACAAATACTTCCATTTATTTGATCATTATTATGAAGCAGATTAAGTCGCGCTGTATTGTTATTCGTGACGTATTTTAGAACAAATCTTGCGGCAGGTCCGTATACCTTTCCCTCATTATGCGATTCTCTCGGACATTAACAGCGATTTAAGGAAGGAATGCAACTGAACGGAAAATGTTCGAATCAGCGATTTCAAAACATTTTAGATGGAAGATTAAACGTGTCCTGAAGTCAGTAGTCGACTAGGCCTCTGGAATAACGGAAAATGGCATGGTTTTTCTTTAGGAGCATACAAGATTTACGTTATATCTAATTGCACCGAATCAGCATTGATCTGTGCTCAATCAATCTGCTCTCTGTGTTAATAATCAGGACTACGTAATAGAGACAATCGCTAACGTCCAGTAAATATGAATTGTCGGTGCAACTCGGCAATCGCAACTTTAGGCGTCAGAATCGAGGGATTTTACCGATTGTTCCTCGGACTCAGTGAACGAAGCGGTGAATCTCTGTATCTTCTACGCGACTCTGTTCTACCCCGGTCACGATCATCGCGCCGATCTCTCTCCCTATCCCGCTCGCGATCGCCGTCCATGTCTCGCCTATCGCGACGTACGGGATGGTGTCTCGGACTACGGCTCGGACTTGGTGTACGAGACACGGAAGACCGCGTGTCGGAACTGTGGCCTTCGTAACGATGTCTCCGTTCTCTTTGTCTGAAAAGTGAAACAGAATTCACGTCGCTACTTAAGTTGACGAACTTAAAAAGTTGACGCACGCCGCATCACAAGGTAAAAATTATTCACTTTCTGCGGAGTTTCAAAGACATTTCTCGAATCTCGTCTTCCCGATCCTGTCTCTGTTGCTCCATCTTCTCGATTCTCAACTGCTCGGCTTTCTTGTCAGCTTTATCTAAAAGAATTCATTTTACATTTGCCTTTTATGAATTACTCCTGAATTACTCCTCATTCTTTCAGACATCAACCTACACTGTCTGTTTAACAGGGCCTGCATTTTCTTTTTAAGCCGCTCCTGGGGTGTAATTTTCAACGACTGAAAAATATAAAACTCTTAAAAGTCTATAGAGAAAGAGCTCGATATTTTTGGTATAATTTAAAAATCTAGTGCCCATTATACGTACAATATGTAGTATGCACTAATATATTACCAATTATAGAATATAACCGAATATATGTACCACAAAAAATTTGCCATTTCCTTTATTAGACGATTAATAGAATGCAATTACGAACAAACGAAAAAAGATAATAACAAAGCGGTCAACTCGATATGGATTCATTTCAGCGATAGTTATCTCAAAAATAAGACGTTAGTACGATTCAAAGATTCTCAAATTCTTTGTGGCTCTAACGATACGTTGAAATTCTGCTTCAGAACGAATTAAAAATAAAACAAATAAATGTAGAATATGATGTTGACACATCATATTCTGAAGTGTAATATAATGAAAACAAGACGCGCTTGTTGAGGTTCTTCGTTCAGATGGAAGGCATACAGACATTATACTTATATAGACATGGTACTTATATAAGTATGTCTTTATTCTCTGTGCGTTAAGTGACTAAGAAAGCGTTATGGTTCTTACTGACTTTGTGTCCGCCACCAGAATTTGTACTTAACCCTGCTTTTGGCTTGTTCCTGAAATATTCAGAAAAAATTAAGTCCACGCACAACAACTTGATATATGTAATGTAAATTAAGATTGTTCACTGCTTATAAAATGCTTACACGCTTGTATTTATCGGAGTCTTCGGTGTTGCTGGACTGGATTTTTCTTCGTTATCAGACAGCTCTAGCTCAAGACTTGACGATTTTCCACGTCGGCCATAATACCTGTACATGAAATAAGTTATACACTTACGTTACAATAATTTGATTCTTGAATAAACCTGCGAAAAATTTTCACCTGGGCAGTGCTGGCGTCTTATTATCATCGCTTCGCGATCGTTTACAGCTAGATTGACTTCTCGATCTCGATCTAGATCTTGATGGAGACTTCGATCTCGAGCGAGACTTGGATCTCGATTTCGACAGCGAATAGCGTCTTTTCCGATAGCTGTCTCTAGATGGGCTCCTATTATGCGATTTAGACCTCGATCTTGATGCCGATATGCTGCTCGAGGACGAACTCCTCGATCTCTTCAAACGCGAGCGTGATCTAGATCTTGACCTCGATCGAGAAACTGAACGCGATCGAGATCTGCTGGTACTTCTACAACGCGATCGTGATTTACTTCGCGTTCGGGATCGTCTGGTGCGACTTCTTGTGCGGGATCTCGTATACTTTCGAGGTCTCGAGCGTGTGCGTCTAGATCTGAAATAAGATTCAGTACTAGATATATTAGAAAGCAAAACATTAATTATGTCAATAAATATGTAATAAGTTCTTTTATCTTGCAACTTACCTCATTCTAGATCCACTTCGTTTTCTGTCACGTGTCCTATACGACTTAGTCCTACTAACGGAACGTGAACAACTTCTCGACCTTGACTTGGATATTTTTCTACTGACAGTTCTATCGTTGAAAGCAGGACTGTCCGACCTCCGCCGTCTGAGATACGAATAATTGACTTTTCTTGAATTTGACGAAGACACATGTGATGTGCTACCATGAGTCTCTTCTTCCCCACCGAAGCTTGTGATGTAAGTAATCTGTCCCGTATTTACAGGTGATGTGGATCGCGATCGCGATTTGGAAGAGGATTTTCTATAAGGATTATACTCCGGGCTTTCCCTGGCTGCATAACTGAGATGAAGATAGAGAAATTTATATAAGTAATAACGTAAAAAAATATTTAATTTTAATATTTAATTTAATTTTTTGCGTAAATGCAACTAGTTATTACCTAGGCGGACTCATAACGCGACCTATCATCTTCTTTTCCCTGAATGCACGCCTTTCTCTACGCGACCGTCGACCCTATTATATATAAAATGGAAAACATACATTAAAACATTTTCTTACATCAAAGCGTGACGTATTTTCAGACATTTAATTATAATATATTATAGTATATATAAATATATAATATAAAAATATATATTAGTTGTGTTTTGAATTAATGTAATTATTTACCGAGTACATAGCTTTCTCCTCCTCCTGCTTGCGGGCCTGTCGCAAGGTTTCAGCTTCTTCAAAATCTTGTGTTAAAAAGCTAAAGTAATCAGCACCTAGAAGTCCATATTTTTGAGCTACTAAATTCATCTCATGTGCCTGAGATGGTTCTATTTGAGACACGTCCACGCATATATCTAAAAAAAAGTAATACATTACATTAAAAGATTTTGTTCTTGTAACATTTCAAGGCGTATTAACTCATTATTGACCGGAGATGTATACCAGCAATTTTTTTACTGCCCATTATTGAGGGTGACTTTAGAAGTTTACATTATAAGGACATATAAGGACAGTTTAAATCATAATGCAAAGTTAGAGCTTGTATTATTGGATTTGTGATTGTGTTTATCCTTTACTTTCTGTTATAGCTTTTTTTTCTAATCTTATATATATTATAAACAAAACTTAGAAATTACTGATATTTACTCACATGTTTCAACATTGACCCGTATAAAAAATAACAGAGACGCGGAAACTAATACAGACATTAGTTTCTGTATAAAATTCTCGGTCAACAATGTGTTAAACATTGCGTTAAGTAAAATAATGATACCTAAATCTATATCGCTATCTTCATCATCTCCCTTTTCCTCCGATATAACTGGATCCACTGTTGCTTTTGCCGGTTCAGGTATCGGCTCTTCGGTTTCATAATTATATCCGATGGCAGCGCTATTAGCAGATTTCTTCTTATCTTTTGCAGCATCTAACTTTGTTGACGAACCAAACTGTTCTTCCAAATGTATTTGGTGAAGAAACTTTTCTTCAGTCACTGAAGAAAAGACGTTTGAGTGAAGACATAAGGAAGACTGATAAGAGGTCCCTGCACAACGGAGGGAAAGACAAACAACGTACCGCCTAGAAATTCATTTTGCACAATTATACGATAGCGTTCATAGTTGATATGTCTGTCTTCGCTTGTCAGAGCAATATCAACATCGATAGTATCTAGCGGCTCTGGTATCCAATCCAGATGCGCTCGTACGTCAAAACGATCTATAAGATTGTCTTCATTGCCTTGCCATGGCATCCTGGTCAGTAAAATACATTATTCTCTGTTGAAGTACCAGCACAATTAACGGTTAATATCATACTGCAATACTCACATGTTTGCAGGACTGTCACCCGCAGCGGCTATTGCCGGATCCAAATGTATCTTACACGGTCTACCGTGCAGCTGGAGAAATTGAGTAGGATCTGATTTCTAAAATGAAGCACAAGAACGTTCGATTATTACGTTTGTCCGAGCAATACCTCTGCTCCGCAATTATATCTTAAGGTTTACATTAAAAAAAAAAAAGAGTAGCAAAAAAAGGAGCAATAATATGAAGGTTAACCGAGGAACGGAGGAAGATACATAAAAATTCCGTGAAAATAATGCGCGACCCATCGATCTGTCGTAAATCAGACGAAAGGAGAAATCCGTCGCGCATATTTTCGCGCAGATTCTTACGATTTTTTCATAGTAGTCCCGTCTACGTTCCGCTCTGCGACGATAATCGACCAGCATGCCGCGTATTTTCTTTTCCTGCTTGCGTGCCTCGTGCCACATTCTGCCGCCGGTCTTCTTCACGGAGAAACTCATTTTCCTCTCCTCACCGCCGTGGAGGTCAATTTCGCGCGGCTAGCTTGACGTGGGTGCCATTCGTCCGGCTGTAATCGCTAAAAAATTGAAGCACTAATAATTGACACGCTTTCCTCTCCCGCGAAGGCGGACATGTTGCCTTTTGCCGAGAACTGCGTTAGCGACTTCTTCCGGATCTGGCGGAAATCACTTGCTCAATCAGGACGCGCTTGCGGGCCTTGCGGCGGTCAATGATTTGGATCGATGATAAATTGTTCAATCTCGTTACTTTTGTTTTTAATACATTTTCTTTAATATTATATACATATTAAATAATTGAATTTTTTCAATTAAGTATTTATCAATAATTATTCAATTTTATAAAGTTTAGTTATTTAATAATATACAAAATAGTATATATTAAATTATCTCATAAATAATATGGTTTTTTTTTTAAGAGAATTTTTGAAATAAAACAAAAAATTTGATATTTTAATTTTAATCAAAAATATATTTTCCATTATTATTTACTTCCTTCCATCTTAAATTCTCAATTTCTTGATGATGATAAAAGTCTTTCGGTTTTGAGCTGAAGATTAAATTAAGCTCCCAATTATGTATACCGCATTGCTATTTCATTATTTTTATTTTTAATAAATTATTAGATATTAAATATTTGTTAATAATTATTCAATTTCATTAAATTTAATTATTAAAGTAAATTAAATTAAACTACAAAAGAAGATATGAACTCACACGAAACTCCCCTGTTTCGGTTTCAGCTTTCGTATTTTATATAGAATGCTCTTTTTACGCGTCACTCAAATCTACGCATATCTCTAATCCCCTTCTCAATTATCTGTTCATCAAACTGACAATAGAAGAAAAATCAGCTTATCCTGATTTTTTTATACGAATATTGAAACGTTTTTCAGAAAAACTCAGACAAAGTAATAATAAAATATTTCAGATTTTTCCTGCCAACACATCTTTGTAAAAATCTGAATATGAGATAATCTGTGTAATTTATTATCAGAAATGTTCATACGTACGGATACTGAAATATTCCGTAAATCCTCATTATTTCTGAAAGTATCTAAGAAATTTTATATATTTTTTCAGAATTTTTTTTTTAACGCGCTTTATTCTTTTCACACGCGGATTCTCGTATAATATAATAATTAAGAGTGGAAATCGGGTGCGGCGCGAAAGGTCAGCGGAAGAAAAGGTAACAGCAGAAGGTGAAGATGCTTTTGTTTATTATTAACCTTATGTAATATCGTTTCAAATTTTCAATTACATTATTATATATAATAATAATTATAATAATCATCATAATAATGTTATGACAATGTATACACGTTAGATACAAGTTCATTTTCCTTCATCCGGTATGGAGTTTTGTTAATTATTTTTTTTCATCTTAATAAATCGGTTTTTTGTTTCTTAATTAACATTTTACCACTTCCTCTCTCTCTTTTTCTCTTTCTCACACACGCATACAACCGGACGCACACACGTTCTCTCTTTCTCTCTTTTTTCTTCTCGCTCTCCGTCCCATTCATCCCCTATATTTTTTTGTCCCGATTGGTGCATGCCGAACGGGACATCCAGATATATCATCAACCTTTCACGCTCGTGATTCTCAAAGGACGCTTACGCGTTGCCTCCTCAGGCGCATCTCTCTTTCTCTCTCTTTCTGTCAGTCGTATTATAGTTATATTTGTTTCTGAACACAATGCTTTTACTCATGACGTTAGGAAACTTAGGTTACTTTATTTCCGCCGCGGCAACATGTTCCAAAGATCTCGTAATTAATTAAGTTTGCCTCTCGCGAGCGCGCGGACTTTTTCAAAGGCCGCACGTGCGCCCCGCAAATGTCAGATTTGCAAGCCCCGTACGTAATCGAATCGTAAAAGGAGACGTGCGCGGGAAAACACGCACGAGAGGAAGATTTCCTTAAAGATTTATCACGGATCGATAATTCAACAAAAATTACAAGTCAAACGAAAAATTAAGAAGCGCGTTAATCCTCCATTGCCCAAATTATTCGTCGAGATTTCAGAGTCTTCAATGTATACAAATATGGATCAATATGAATATTCGTATAATAGATCTGTATCTTCGTCTTTCCGAAGACAAATAGGACGTCTATGTTATAAAACTTCAAAATTACGATGATCGAACGGCTCGGAGAGCCGAAAGAAAAATCGAATAAAAAAAAACCCCCGGCGCGTGACTTAAAGATTACTGGGCAACGGATGATGAAGGAAATTCGTCGACAAATTGCTCTCGCGCTTACAAACGTTTAAAAGCATGCGAACGATGCGCAAATATCCCGCGTATAATACGTCGACTAACATAAATAGTAATTAAAATACAGTTTGGCTCGTAATTCTCTCTCGTGATCGTTCTGTAAATCAAATTATCTAACGTTTTATGTAAAAAAAAATACATATATACGTATGTACGTATGCATGTGTGTGCGTACGCGGTGAAAAATCGTTTGAAACATGAACCGCGGCCGGATCTTACGCTATATAAATGTATACATCTCTGTTGTCTTGCTAGTTGGCTTAAATACTTTGCATTTTTGCGACAGCTGAATGGAGTGGACAAATTCATCCCGAGACGATGGTGTGGCTCTCGCAAAACTCGAAATAAAGCGCGCATATCGGAAAGCGAAAGGAACCCTATAAGGAGGGAAGAGGATTTCTCGTCCTGCTTCGCCGGGGTTCCCTTCTCCCATCGGGAGAGGCTGTGTGTGTTGCACGGATGCGCTTTTAAAAAACGCACCCCCTCGTCGCGTCCTCTCTCTCTCTCTCTCTCTCTCGCGCGGAAAAAAACGAAGAAAAAAAAGAGAAAAAAAAAGAAGAAAATTTCTATATATCGCACAGCTCGTTCGACGCGTCTTAAACGCGCTTTAAATTGCTATATTTCTCCCGAGATTCGAGAATCGTGCCCTACCGCGGCTATACCCGTGAAAAAATTTTCTCTAAACTCGTTCGGCCTGGACACGCCGGGCGGTGTTCCTTTTAGCTTCGCCAAGAAAGAAAAAACTCGCGGTCTGCCAAGGAGGAGCGCGACCGATATATAAAACTTTCACATGAATCTCATTAGCGAGGTGGCTCTTTTTTGCGTTGCATCAGGTAGGAGTTTCGGATCGAGGCTCGGCCGGCTTCTGTGGTGTCTTCTCGCGATCGGAGGAACGTCTTCGGAGAGGATAAGTTTTTCAGAAGTCGTCTACCGCAGCCGGTGGAACGAAGAAAACGACATCGATCGTTTTTGATCGGCCTTCTCTTTTACCTGACGCTAAATGAGCTTCGTGTTCATTAATATTGAGTATCGCTAAAGAACCATGTCGCCGCGTTGGGTATATCAAGCGGTTTTTATTTCAGGATAACTGAAGGTCTTTGAAGAAAGTATGCCAAGCGAGCAACGGTGGCCGTTAATTGATATAATTGCGACTCAGCTCCAGCATTGCATATGTATTTTTATCATCGCGGTATTTCGCAATACGGACAGTTAAAGAGAGTTTACGCGCCGCGTTCGCGCACGTTCTTTCTTGGCAGACCGTGCGTCGTTAATAACCGATCCATCACTTTGCTGCAGGTAAACGATAATAATCATCCAGTAAAAAATCAACAATATCGTTGAAAGGAGAACGATGCGCTTCGATGCATTATCAAACGCGGCGCTGTGCCCAGGAGTCCGTCGTCGTGGGTCGGATTATGCACACCTCTCTCCGGACCGGAGAGAAAGACCGGTATACCGAGTGCCTTCGTATGAGCCATCCCGACGCGAGAATTGTCTCTCGCGCGTCGTCATCCTGTTGCGCTGAGAGCGAAATCGGCGAAATGATTCAAGGACGATGAAAAATAGTATCCGAATGTATACAGAGGTTTTCCGAATAGCGTTTCTCTCTCTGAGAATGTCGTGAACACCGTTGTTTGCGGGACTAGTGAGCACAGCGTGTAACAAGATGAATTCGGAAGAGGGCACGTGATATAAATATATGTATAATATGTAAAATATGTATAATATATAACATTATATATATTTATATATCTAATTATATGTTATACATATTACGTATATAATATGTACACAATATTATATATATTATACATATATATCTATCGCACATTGTCTATAATTTATAGAGCGTACTGATTTTTGCCGTTCAACAAGGTATTGTTCGCGAGGACGCTCAGAATTTATCACAGAAAATCCTGAACGTCCCCGTAATTTAATCTCTCTACACCTAAAAAATCATATCCTGTACAACTTTAACCGCGGAAATTATCAAAAAGGTCATTGAGGTAAGGTGCGACATATCCCGTTTTACGTTTCCTCTTTTCTTTTTTTTTTTTAGATGATTTTACAGAGAGCTGCTCTCCCCTCTCTTTAGGTATTTATTTATGTCATAGTGAATCTATCTATTTTTAAGCATTGCTTTCGAGCTATCTAATCACAACACAGACTCATTACGACTCTTGAAATTTAATGTATCTCTTAAGCACCGATTGCCGTAAAATCTCAATGCGATATAAAAACATTTATAGTACAAGTGTCAATGGGCTTCGTATTCCTATTTTATCCGTTGGTGATTTACATATTATTAGATACTGTTAGAAAATTTGTTTTTCGTTCGGTAACTTATTATAAATTCGAGTATAACAAACTTCAACATCTGAGTTGCAATATAGAATGTCTCGTGTATATCTCATTAAATCGTATTCTGCAAATGTTCTTTGTATTGCAGGTGTATAAAAATATACAAATCATTCGAAAGGCCGCACGAATAAAATGATTCTTAGCAGATCGAATGGCTTGTGAAACGTTAGACTTTTCTCAGCTACTCGAAAGTATCTTATATTTCTCATATATTTACAACTAATACAACAAGAATTCAAATCTAAATTTCACAGTGAGACTCGTTACTTTTCCAGAAAATACATTATAAGAATTCTCTTGGTCGTCTAATACCTTCTTTTTTTTGGCCAAGCTCTTTTGACAACAGTCGCAGTCATGCAGACGAAATTGCTTTGCCGCTCTGCTTTATATTTACGCATTAAAATTTTCGTACAAAAAAGATATCGCAATTAAAACGTTAAAGATGACGGTTATATTGGGAATTACACATGTAGCTTCATCTATAT